GTGAGGATAAGTCATGTCTCTGCAGCCAGATAATAGGGACTGGTCCTGAAATGCTGAGAGATCACTTTGAAGATATGTAATGGCACTCTTTCTTCTTTATTGTGCTTAAACTTATTAATCTAAGTCTAGTGAAAGCTCATTCTTTGAACAGAAAATTCTACAGAAAGCCAAGAGTTGCTCATAACTTGGTCTAGGAAATATGGAACATTTAGGTTTTGCATAAATGGTAGTTATAATTTAAACCTAATTTTAAACAGTTGCATATAGTCCCTCCAGGTTCTTCAGTCACAGGGTGTAGATAACTGGGCAAATTTGAAAATACACAATTTGTGTAGGAAGTCTGCACATATCCAGTTGCAGTTTGTTGTCGTCATTGCACTTCTGAAAATTACCAATGATTTCTTTGGAAGAAGAGGTGGTTGGTTTTTTCCCCCTCCATTTCTTCTCTCCTTCCCCCCCACCCCCATTTTATTTTGGCCTGTGGAAATCTGACTTGAAATAATCATCAGATAATACTGACAGAACAATCAATTTGGTTCTTAGAGACATAATTGTGAAAAAAACCCTTCTACTTTTCAAAATAGGTGCTGTACACTGCAGGGATGCTTGGTACCTCCTTCTACAGATGCCCACGATCTTTAAAAGAAGCATTTAGGTCTTGAGGTTATTTAAAGATTCCCAATTTTTTTTACTTGTCTTTTAGACTTTATTTAGCTATGCAAGATATCACCATATTCAGTATTTTTTATAATAAACATGTCTAGTCAAAGAAAGCATTAATGAAGCAATTCCCCAAATAAAACAGCCCATCATATCTGAGTTGCAGCAGAGAGAAAGTGTGGTCTTTGTAGTTTAATCAAGATCACAAGACTTGTTTTGAGCGTCTGTCATCTTTAATTTTACGGCACTTCATTTCAGAGTGGGACTGCCAGGGTCACATGCAATTAAAACACAGGCAAGATTTGTCTTGTGAAATCTTAACATAAAAAGTAATGTGTTACTCTATTTTAACTTTTCTACTGAACTCTGTGAACTCACTAATTACTTTTCCCCCTCTTGTCACCTTTTTGATATGACATGTATTTTATAAAGGAGATAGAAGTTTGGGAATTTTTTTTTCTATCATGCATATGATTGAGGATAACAAAATTAAACCGGAGAAAAAAGGAAATGTATTTTTCAGAAATACATTTTTAGAAATATCTGAGCATTACTGCTTCAATTACAAAGGGACTGGAGGATCAAATTCAAGGAAATAACTATTAATCTGCTTAACTAGGGCAGGTAGAAGCGTAATAGCAGACCAGGGATTTTAGTGAGGCCAATCACACAGACTGGAGTTTATTCTCTTGAGAGGGGTGACAGGGGAAGGGTAAAGGGACTTTAATGTGGTGGGCCCTGAGAAGCACGAAAAGCTGGTATCTGTGTAGCTTCTTTATAGCTTTAGCCCAGTTGTTGCATCGTAGTGATCAGTAAATTGCATGGACCCTTATTAACCTTATTGATAAGGAGCTTAGGGAAGTCCCATTCACTCCAGAATATATTCTTCTTTTTGTTCTCCTGTCTGTCTCGGTTTGCAATCCCAGTCTCTTTGTACAGAAATCCTTTATGTTGCACCTCAAAATTCTGTGCAAGTACTCTGCTCATTTAACTTGGAGCAAGGGAACTGTAGAGCAGAAAGGGTTGGAGTACGCATGGGGCCACGGGCCCATTTAAATATAGCTGGGACACCTGGAGAATGTTTGAAAAATTTCTTTTAAAGAATCTTTTATATTGTTCTTCTTTCAGTGCAGCTGGGGTCTGTGGGGATCAGGGGATTATTTTTGATACCTGTCTAAAAGAGTTATGTCTACACTGATTTCCATCCCTTGCTACTAATTAACCTTATTGTATACAGGAAACAGTCTATTTAATACCTGCATTCTTTCTGTAATGCCAAGTAAAATGAAATCTAGTGTGAAATCTAGTTAGCGTTTGCCTTTTTGAAGTCATTTTTGAGTTTCCAGTCCGGGTGACTGTGACCTCAAAACTGAAAGCTATAAAAATGGTCCCGATTTTGGCTCAATGGGAGATTCTTGGAGATTCCCTGTTCACCTGGACTTGCACGTGTAGTAAATTGCCCATCTTGGTGCTTAACAGTGTTTTCTCAGGAACCATCTATTTCTGGGTCACTCATAGCCCTGCAAAGCACATATGTTCCTCCTAAGGAAAGGAGTCTCCTCCTTTCTGCTGGAAAGATCACACTTCGACTGTTTCAGTGTATAGAGACTTATAAAAAATTTAAATAGCAATGGTAAAAACAGATACATTGAGAACAAGGAATGATGATTTAAAAATGTCTCCAGCAACCACAGAGGATGGTGAGGGGTAGCTGAGAAAAACTTAAGCTGTAAAATAGAGGGCAAAAATATGGATGATGTACCATATTTTAAAGGCTCTTTAAAGCCTGCTGAAAAACATTGATTTTGATTGTGTCTGCTCCAACATGCAGATAGAGGAGTTGTTACTGTACAGCATGGTTTCTGAAAAGAATGTTCACTAAAATGGATTTTCTCATGTTTTTGATGAGGAGGTGACATCCCAGGATGTCACAAAGTTGAGGCTGTGACCTTGCTTTCTCTGCAGGTCTCCAACTGCACCCCCGATGAAGTGGGGACCAAAAGTGGGGTTGGATTTTACAGAAGCTTGGTTCAGTTCCTTAAGGAGAACTCGGGTCAGGTTGCTGGGTCACTCTCTTGAGGACAGGCCAGCTGCATGAGCTTGGGAGTCTTTAACAACAAAATTTTGAAGAAAGGTACATAATTTAGTACTAAATTTCATTCCTTTAATACCAAATGATGATACCAAGAACAAAGCTAATCAAGACAAAGGACAACAAGAAAAAAACCCACCTTTTTAATACTGACTGGGCACCACTATTAACAGCATAGATATTAAACAAAGGTTGAAAGTGTTCATTTGATTTATTTATTAGTGTTAAAGCTCAGTGGAAGCACCAAAAGAATAGGACATTGATATCATTAGTTATAATCTATTTGGGAAGAAGGAGAAGCATTGTTTTCATTCCTGCTGGGACTTTTCAGGTAGCTTGGCTATTGGAAATGTGGCTTGATGGCAGAAATATAGGCTTATGGGCTTGAAGTGCTGGGTGTACACGAGTGTCCATCCCTGTGGCCAAATGGCCACAGTGGGGATTCAAGATTCAGTTTAAGGACACTGAAAGGTCCCCTGGATCCCTCTGTAAAACTATTCTTCAAGGAACGGGAGAAAATTTTTTTCATTTGCTGTTTTCCTTCCATTTCCTGTATTTTACACTTATTTTGGTCAATAAAGCAATGTTCATTTATGCTTTACATCATTCTCCAGAAAACACATTTCTTGCAGTGCAGCCTTTCCAAAAACAACAGAAATAATCTGACTTAACTATAAAAGATTTTATTATTAGTTTTTTTTTCTTCTGCCTTTCCTACTAAGCTCCTCTGCAAAACAGCTAGAAATTTTCATTTTCAAAACATTAGTACAGCAAATTGCCATCTTTCTGTGCATGGCATTCTCTATGTACTCATCATCTGAATGATTCCAGATCACTCTCCGGCAGCGTGAATCACAGCATGCCCTCATGCCTGCCTCTTTTTCAATTATATCTAAGAGGAAGACTGCTGGAGACCCATTTTTTCATCTTGCACAGGACCCCAAAAGTGCCAGATCTCATTTCAATATAATATTATGACAGTATGATAAAATGGATGTTAACAGGACACTGACTAATATGATCCGTAGAGAAATGATAGAACAATACAATGTCGGACAGATTGTATTCCTAATGTGCATTTTATGGACACAAAATTTCCTCTGTAAACAGGGTTCTAAGATTTAATCCTTATATCCTATGATCCTACTTAGTGTTTAAGACATTCTGCAGCTCTAGTGAAATTTTCACGTTCTTAAACGAAATATATATTTTTATTTTAGCACAGAGCTGCCTATATCACTCCCAATTTACTAATGAAACTTGGCATTCAAATGACTCATCAGCACGTACTGCAAGGCATAAAAATAGATTAATGTGGCATACGTTTCTTTACCCATAAAAACGCACCTTCATATAATCTCGGCGCTGTCTTATTCAACAGAAAGTATGTCATTTCCTTCCCCTAGCAGGTCGAATTAAAAATGAGCTAAATGTGTGAGAAAGCCATTACTGCACTAATGAAAAGCTCGATACCGTTTAAATTTTTCATCATGGGATATTTGTTCTGTAGCACAGAGCACTAATATTTACTGTCACCGGTACAGTGTGCGCGGTAATTAACTTACAGTCATCAACGCGGTGGATGTTAAGCAAAGATGTTCCTGTGCGAGCTCAGATCTCTTTTACAACTATTTCATAGATTCAGAGTGGTTTAGGCTGGAAAGGACCTTAAAGCTCATCCAGTGCCATGGGCAGGGACACCTTCCAATAGCCCAGGTTGCTTCAAGCCCCATCCAACATGACTTTGGACACTTCCAGGGATGGGGCAGCCACAGCTTCTCTGGGCAACCTGTGCCAGGGCCTCACCACCCTCACAGTCAAGAATTTCTTCCTAATATCCAACCTAACATGAGACAGCCCTTCAAGACTTTGTAGTTTTGCTTGAAGTGGAGAGAAAAAGGGTTAAAAGGACTTTGACATCTCATATAAGCTCTGAATCTGCCTCTCTATGTGCTACTACAACCAGAAGGATAATAAAAGCCACCTCAGGGCCTTACTGGCTAACCAGTGACTGTAGAAGGGACATCAGTACCAAGTGGCTGTTTTTATTCTAGAAGATGGGCTGAACTTGCAAAATGATGCACTAGCCCAAATCATTATCCTCATTCAGAACATGGACACTGATCTCACCTGCTTCATATGTGATGGCAGGATGGTGCTGAGGGTGCTCTTGTTTGTTCCCAGAGTGGCTGGCTACATCCCTCTCTTTCTCCCCTCTTCTCTTATTAATAACTTCAGAAGGATATGA